TGCCTGGCAGGATGGGCGTCAGGGCTAAGGGCCCAGAATAAACAGGTGTTGTTGGTGGTGGTTTATATTTCACCAGAAGGTAATTGAGTACTGTAGCAATTGCAGAATACCATGTGGGCCTCCAGGAGAACTGAACAAAGGGGAGGGAAGGGAGAAGGGGAAAAGCACTGGCAAAACACTACGATAGAAACGGGAACAGAATTTTAGGGACCGACCTTGAAATTAGCCTGCCTCAGGAGCACTAGTGTTGAAAAGACTGAGTGATGAATTAGTGAAACTAGATTATGGAGGGCCTGGGGTCTCAGGCCAAGGAGTTTAAGATTTATCTTAGAGGCAGTGGGAGCCACTGGAAGCTTTTAAGCAGGTTAACTGTGGAATGAAGTTGGTGCTTTTGGAAGGTTTCCCTGGTAGTGGCACATTGATGGGGACCCAGAGGACAGAGACGAGGGCTGTCTTCTTCCCCGATGCCTGGGCAACTCCTCTCTGTTATCACACTCACTACCCTCCTGCTTTTACACTGTGGATGCTCTAAAGGTCCCTGCAGAGCTCTGACCTAGAACACAGATCTGTCCACATTGTGCAAGCCTGTGCCCCAGCTGCCAGATGCTGATGGTGGGAATCGCTCAGGTGCACACATTGATGCCTCTACATTCAACTGTTCCAGCTTCCACTGAACTCAGTAGGCAGTGCTTATAATTTTAGGTCTCTAGTTGGCCTCCTTCCCATTTTTCTTTTCTTTTTTTTTTTTTTTTTAAAAAATGTACTAGAGGCCTGTTGCATGAGATTCATGCACGGGGGGGGGAGGGGGCTTGGGGGAGGGTGGTCCCTCAACCCGGCCTGTACCCTCTCGCAGTCCAGGAGCCCTCAGGGGATGTCTGACTGCCCTCTTAGGCCTGCTCCTCGGGCTTAAGTCAGACATCCTTATCACTGCTGCGGAGGTGGGAGAGGCTCCCACCACCGCCACTACCTTCACCAGCTGTGAGCCCAGCTTCTGGCTAAGCAGCGCTCCTGCTGTGGGAGTGCACTGACCACCAGGGGGCAGCTCCTGCATTGAGCGTCTGCCCCCTGGTGGTCAATGCGCATCATAGCGACAGGTCATCTGCTGTTCAGTCGATTTGCATATTAGCCTTTTATTATCTAGGATTTTTATTGATTTCAGAAAGGAAGGGAGAGGAGAGAGAGAGAGAGAGAAACGTTAATAATGAGAGAGAATCATTGATCGGCTGCTTCCTGCACCCTTTTACTGGGGATCGAGCCCACAACCCGGGCATGTACCCTTGACTGGAATCAAACCCAGGACCCTTCAGTCCGCAGGCTGACACTCTATCCACATAGCCAAACCGGCTAGGTCCTCCATTTTTGTATAGCTTCTCTTCTGGACCCCACCACTCATCACCAAACTTGACCACCTCTCCTCCTAGATCTCCAAATTCGGGAGATCCTTTGCTGAGATGGAGGAAGTTTTGTTGTGTGACTAGGCCTTTAACTTGAAGCCCATGGTCTACTGTTCATTGATCTCATTTTCTTTTTGCTTTGTTTCTGGTTGTGGAGGCACCTTGGTCAGAAGAAACATCTGCTGTATGTGTAATATAGGTCAGATGAGGGCTCGGTGTTTTTGCATCTTGGAGCTCATTACATCTTCTCATCAACCTTGTATCCCCGTTTTACAGACACTGTGCTTATTCAGACTAAGGTGGTCACAGGGCACAGCACTAAGGCAGGGGAAATATCCACTTGTCACTGTATCATGAGCCTTGAAAGTCTATCAGCTGATCACCCCCACCCTTAGGTGTACACACACATATGCATATTCATTCATTCTCATTCTTTCTCTCTCCCCTCGACCCCAGACCCTTCTGTGCTTCCACTAAGTGTTCCTTCTCCATACAAGGAGGAGAAGGTGTGGAAGAGAGGACTTAGATGTGGGTGGTGAGTTTGCTGGGATCCTGTTTATGTGACTAGAACTCTGGCTTCCACCTCCAAGAGGTCACCAGCTATGACGCTTGTCCTGCAGAACCAAACCCCATCTCTTAGCACCTAAGGGAGCAGTACAGCCATGAGGAGGGCAGATAGGCACCCAGAGCCATGAAGTTCAGCAGGAGTACCACCTTCTCTATCACTGTATTTTCCTTGATACAACCTGGTTCTGTAGGCAGCCCCCTCACTAACATAGATACCCAGGTTCAAATTCAGCCCGAGGTCTGTTGCCTAAGCTCGGTGGAGCAGGGGCACCTCTCCCCGACCTGTAAAGCCAGTCATGTGCACCCACATTTAGGACTTCATGTAGTTGAACTTGATCTTCCTGAGGACGTTTTGAATCCCAATCCTGGTATTTAATACAGTTGCTCTCACTGACAACTTTAGATGCACACCAGTTGATAACCTTGCACCCCGTATCTTTATTCAAACCACCGTTGATACTGAATAAACAGCTGCAGTGCAAGTGTTGCCGCACACCACCAGAAACCTCTCTCAGGGGTGCAGTTGCCGTTCACCCAAAGCCACTGAGTGAGTCATGTTACCAATCATCAATTCAGTGAACTCTAATATAATAAGCCCCTCCCCCCCTTTACTTCTCCAAAGGTCAGCTCTCCTGAAAGACATTCACTACCACCTTGGCTCTTCACAGAACTTCTCTGGACCTGATTTCTCCATGACATACTGACATCCCTCACTTTGTAGGGCTGTTTGGGGGCAGATACAAGACGACGTGTAATAATAGCATCAGAGGCCTGACTTCAAACCTAGACCTTGGGTTCCAGGCCCAGATTCTTTCCTCTGTATCCATCTTCCAGATGTGGGATGGGCTGCCTGGGAGACAGACTCTCCTTTTCCGTGGCTCACTGCTCAGCAGGGATGCTGCTAAGGGATCGTTTCCAACTCCAATATTCTATGATTTTTATTGATCTTATGAAACGTGATTTAGGTTTGTTCGGATTATTCAATTAACATACCATTTTTGTTTGTCTCAGCCTGTCAATATTATCAACACCTATTCATTCGCATTGATGAAAAAAGGAAACATAGAGAATTTGAACAGTTTAATGAGCATTTGAATGTCTTAAAACATGACTTAAAATATGATCTAAACTTTATGATTATTAAACAATCTAGTCCCAGCACTACTCATAAAGGAAACATTTCTTTGGCTGAATTCTCAATATTAAAGTTTAATTCAGAGAGGAAACTCGCTAAGCTACCCCGCCTTCCTCTCCTGCTGAGCATCTTTCCAGCCCCTACAGAGACTGCTGGCATCAAGATTTTCCATGGGGGGACGTGCCCCCCAATGCATTCCTTCTGTTGATTGTTCAATATGTGTGTTTTCCTTTCAGCTCACATCTTTCTTTTTAGTGGTAAACATCAAAGGAAGGTTCTCCATCCTCTCTCCTGTGAGTTCCTGCTTTGACAGTTATACTCTCAAAGATTTAAGCAGCATAACAGTCACAAAGAAATTATAAGCAGAATTTTCTATAATCAATTTACTTTCTTTTAGCAAAGACAGGAATGCCTACATAATGCATCTTTATTTTCAACTAAAACTAAAAATGATTCTCAGAGCAATTACAGAACTACCGATAGACTTCTTGAGAATTTTTAGTCAATGTATCCTGTTTACACATGCAGCACACAGACTTCTTTAATTAGAGCAGGTCAGATGTGCTTATAATTTCATGTGGATATCTATAATAATAAAAGCGTAATATGCTAATTAGACCAGACAGCCAAACGACCTTCCGGATGTCCTTCCAGATGTCCTTCTTGACGAAGCCCCCATAGCGGGGGGCCGAGGCAGAGGTGGTTAGGGGCTATTAGGCAGGCAGGCAGAGTGATTAGGGGTGATCAGGCAGGCAAGCGAGTGTTTAGGGGTGATCAGGCAGGCAGGCAGAGTGGTTAGGGGCTATCAGGCAGGCAGGCGAGTGGTTAGGGGTGATCAGGCAGGCAGGCGAATTCGGGATCGGGCCTAAACTAGCAGTTGGACATTCCCTGAGGGGTCCCGGATTGCGAGAGGTTGCAGGCCAGGCTGAGGGACCATCCCCTGCCCCTCTGCCCTGCGCATGAATTTCGTGCACCGGCCTCTAGTTTAATATAAAAAGTATTTAACTAGAGAGACAAACTATTATTGGGTCTCTTATTGAATAACAAAATACACCTTGCATACAGTTAATGTGTGGATCACATGCTACATTTTAATTAAAAGTCTATACTTTCCATAGTACTCTGTATAAAAGAAGCTTTGAAACAGTGATATCATTTGTATGTTTTAGGGATGGCAAAAGAATAGAAATAACATCACTCTTCTATCAGGACATTCTCACAGTTCCGAAAGGTTTATTTTGTCATGTGCATAGTCTTGTGTATAGCCTGGACAATGCCAGACTTAGTATCAGTTACTATAATATTTTTATTAATATGAATTAACTATTGGCAAAGCATGCTGATTAGTGGTAGATTGGTTCTAAAGGTATTAAGTGTGGGATTAAACCAGCAGTACTAAGGATATTTTAAACTACAAATAATATACAAGCTAAAAATAATCTTGTCATTCTCAGTCCAATTTCATGGACAGGAGTGAATTTTACTACCTTTCAGATCTGTGACCTTAAATATAGCCTTTTAATGTGGCCTCATAAACAAAATTACCTTTAACTTTTTTAAGGAAAGAAATGGAAAATTTCCGCAAAATGTTTGTTCTTGCCTTATTCTGAGCTTTGTGATATGTATTCAGAACTAGTTCTTGATAATTTGTTAACAAGGGGTTTGTAACACTTTGGACAGATGCACATACTGTTTTCAATCTTCACGGTTAATTATTCGATTTTGTATTTGATGCCAGAACACCCTGACTCCTAATCACTGCTCATTGTTGCAAGTCCATTATGTTCTAACTGTCTGAGTGCTCCCATTGACCTTGAACTGACATTATAAGCTGTGTCTAATCTTTTCAGTCTATATTTCTAATGCTTCTTTTCTTTTTTCCTTTTTTCCTGCTCCCTGTTTAGCATCACAATGGGGCTGCCTCTGAGCCCAGCAGCTGACTCCGCCCGCTCGGCCAGGCATGCCCTCTCCCTCATTGCCACTGCCAGACCACCGGCCTTCCTCACCACCATAGCCAAAGAGGTGAGTGGAACTTCAGGGCTCTGTCCTCGCATTTAGAGGGATTATTGGGCATTGTGAGCTGAGGGTCCGTATCCACAAATCATCCTGCCAGTTTGTTCTAGAACACTGCAAGTTAATAATTTTGTCCTGCAATGAATGCATCTGTACCTGTGGCCACACCAAATTCCACAGTGGCCCAGTCATTACTCTCTGCTTTTCTATTCATTTCTGTTCTAGAAGTTCATTCACTTGGAAATATTTAACAATAATTCTTCAATCTGATAGAGCAGGCTTATTCAAAATAAAATACAGGGCGGGACAAAAGTGTTACAGTTGGGAGTACATGGAACACATCATTTATTCTTAAATTATTATTTATTAATGATTGCATTATTTTCCATATGAACCACTGTAAACTTACTTTTGCCCACCCTGTATATTAAAGGTCTTTACATTTTTCAAGTGTATCTACCTGTAATCAAAACCAGACTTCTTATTTCACATTGGCTCTCCAACTGTAAACAAAAATGTAAGCCATAAACTTGCTAATTGTTTTTCCTATTACATGTCACAAATAAAGACTTGAATACCAATTGATTCCCACATTCTTAGTGTTCCAACTAATTGCCCACATCTAACTGAGGAAGTAGTAAGAAACAATGGACCAATTATAGGATCTTCCCATAGGCCTCAGTAGTGGGAGGACAGGAAAGGATGATGGCTCCTAAGTGTCTTAAGGGTCTATTCCGTTTCAGCCTGAGGAACGTGCAGACTCCGTGTTTGTGGGGTATGGGCCCTGTCTGAGTTGTTTTTCCTGTAGCTGTGATGAGTTTTTAAAATACTAAATAAATACTTCTGAGTCCGCTCTAATAACCTGGAACCTATTGGGCCTGTGTCTGCCGCAGGGCCATCCAGAATAGGCACTCAGCAAATAATTGTGACATGAAGGCAGCTAGAAGGGAGGAAGGGAGGTCCTAACAGCAGGCTGTATGGGTTTATAAGAAGCAGTGGGACTTTGAATTCATAGCTAAAATAAATTTGAAGACTTAAAGGTGTGTGTTTTTTTAATAGTGCACAGTGTTAAAGTGACAGATGTCTTTAAAATATACATATATGTATGTATGCGTTTATATCTTTTATAGATATGATATATTTGTACAAAGTGTATGTATGTATAAATGAATAGACTTAGGGAATTTTTTTACGAGTTTTTCTCATCAGTGGAATATGCACAGATAGTAATATTGAATATGCTGCATAAGCCTTACCTCAGTCTGACCACATGTACAGGTGCTATAAACACCAGGCATTAAACGGTCTCTTTAAAGAAAGTAAAAAAGTATTTATATTAATTGTGTTTTTTACTTAATTTGCACCGTATACATATATGAGTATTTTTAAATGAACTGTTAGAAGAGCCATGCTTTGAATTTATTCTATTCCAGCACTTGGTTAGAAGGTAATTTTTAAATATTTTAATGTAATAGTCCACATTTATTACCTTTTAAAAACAAGTTTTCCACTTCACTTCGAGTTTTTGAGTAAAATACTGAAGCATTTCTCTCTGTGATTGAGTCCCCTACGCCATCCCCATACCCACTCTCCGCTGGCCAGTCCAGGGCCCACCGATGCTCTCTCTCCTCTGAACCATGTAAGACTTACAATTTGTATGGGGAAAATCACACTAAACTTACATTACTTACAGTGCTCTTTATTTTTTAAGGCATGCTTATTTTAATTTACCAACTTGATTGTAAAGCACCCAGCATGGTGCCTGAGACCTAGTAAGTGCCATATAAACATCACTTACTGTGATTACTTGAGAGCAAGTATCATGTCTTACATTTGCTGAAGCCCTTAACTGCTCTCCACCTCAGTGCCATATATACCAACCTCACAAACCTTCAGTCTGTCTTTCCTTGAGAAATGTCATGGTAATATTGTATTAAAGTCTTATGTATCCAGGAACTTAGAGAATTTAATTAGAGAAGATTTAACTGGGTTTTTATTCTACTAAAATACCTTCTTTTGCGATCAGAAGTATTTCCTGACTCACCCCAGGAGTTTGTTCTTGTTGATTTTTTACGCATCTACTGTAATAATAATTTCCAGTGGCTAGAAGTGTGAAACTCTATCAAGGGTCCACCACATCTATATAGCACGGAATGTCTCCACAGGTCCACAGACACACTGCTCTGGCCGCGAACACCCAGTCGCAGCAGAATATACACACGACCGCTCTCGCACGAGCTAAAGGGGAAATTCTGAGAGTCATTGAAATTCTCATTGAAAAGATGCCCACAGATGTTGTGGATCTTCTTGTGGAGGTAAGAATACCCTGTTTTAAATGACACATCAACAGCCTGAATGAAATATTCCAGTGGAGTAATACACATCTCTAAAAGAGACCTTATTTAAATTTCCTCAAAAATCAAAGCGATTGCTGTGTTCATGTATCATTCACCTGGAATTAATTGGTCTACGTTAGAGTAATTTGTAAAGGTCATGTTCTATTTGGCATCTTCCATTATAAATAAAACAAAACACATACAGTATGCTTGAATAAAAGTCACTATCCTGCATAAAAATATGAACAGCTTTTAAAGGAAATAAGTGGTTTCTTTATTTTATTGCATTGTCTTATAAATGTTTTTCGCAGGTAAAAGGTAGCCTGCAGTATAAAGTAAATATACTTTATTTTTTAAGTAAATATTAAAATTAAACTGCCTAGAATTTCCATGGGCAAGTGAGGCCTAAGTTAATAATTTAAATTTGGAAAATTAAGAATTTGAAATTAATTTTAGATTTGTATCCTTCCTATAAAGGTTATGGACATCATTATGTACTGCCTCGAAGGATCTCTAGTTAAAAAGAAAGGTCTTCAGGAGTGTTTCCCAGCCATCTGCAGGTAAAGAAGCCTTCGATAGCACTCAAAATAATGTCAGTACCAAATAATTGTTAAGAAATCTTGAACATGGTTAGTAGTCTTGCTCAGTTAGAAATCCAATCATTAATTAATATCTGCTTGCTTTCTAAAACAATTTAGATGGTCTATAATAAAAACACAACATGAAAAAGTTTTCTCAAAACTTAAGAAATGAATACGATACCATCTATTGAATGTGCCTGTATTCTTACATCGGTACTCAAATGAACATTTACATGAAAAAAAGGAGAGGGAGGAAGCTTCTGACATGAGAGGGAAAATATACTTGGCAGTCCATAGAACGCTTTATGCCACATTTTTAAAAAATATATATTTTATTGATTTTTTACAGAGAGGAAGGGGGAGGGTTAGAGAGTTAGAAACATCGATGAGAAAGAAACATCGATCAGCTGCCTCCTGCACACTCCCTACTGGGGATGTGCCCACAACCAAGGTACATGCCCTTGACTGGAATCAAATCTGGGACCTTTCAGTCCGCAAGCCAAAGCTCTATCCACTGAGCCAAACTGGTTAGGGCCCTTTATGCCACATTTTTGTTGGTAAATTTTATTTTTAACTTAAGGCCAGCATCTACATATTGTATGTGTTTTGCCTATGAGAAAGCAAGAAAAGAAGCTAAGAGCAGTTAAAACTTTTATAAACAGCACTGAATACAGTAACTATAACCTTAAGAATTTTATGTGTATAGCATATAATTGTTATGAAATGAAGATTTTTAAAATTTCAAAATGTAGTAACATTATATTTATTTTCCTTTTAAAAGAGCAACCAGTTGGTTATAGTTACATAACATTTTTCTTTTTAAGACAAGTTCAGTGATTTTAGTTATTTTTGCTCAGTTCTATGAGTACCTTGTGGTGGAATGCTTTGTTTTAGGCTCTACATTTCCTGAGAGCAGTGACATTACACTATGCATCTTTACGTTTTCTGTATTCCCGAGTATTATGGCAAGCATTTGATGAATTAATTACTGCACTCTATAAGCATGCTCATGTATTTTACATTTTTACAATAGGTTTTATATTTTAGTCTCTTTCTGATTTACACCATCCAGAAGTTAAAATATGAAGACACATAAGAAAAGACTGTGTTGCATTATACATGTGTACAGATGCATATTTTCTTGTGATATACATTAGGCATAATAGAATACTGTAATTTTTTAACATCATGCCACATTAATTCTGGTTTATGTTCTCTTTGTTAAAAAGTGTACACAGTGGATTCTTTTACGCAGATAGTTGATATTAAGAATTAATGTAGCTGTTATAGTCCCAGTCTATTGTTCTTTAAGGAAATGTCTAAGTGAAAATGGTCATTTGTCTGTCACCTAGTGGAGGTGAGGAAGCGTTTTTACTAGGACTGATCTTACTGAATACTAGCAAAGCATTCCTTACAGCACCAGTCACTGCTGTGTGAACAAGCCTCCGGGAGTTAAGGTGAGGAATCCGTGGTGCTTACAGGGCCCAAGTCTTCCCTTTGCCGGAGGGCAGCCTCCTCCCCAAGCAGTGTCCTCAGTTCCTTGGGTCACCTTTGTTTGCTGCACATCCACGTTTGATTCCTATTGTTTAATCACCAGAGAGTAAGGATCCTGCTTCAATGCTAAGGAAGCAGGTGTCTAAACTGAATGCTTAGTACCAGTGTTTTTCTGATTGACAGAAAGCAATTTTTTTTTGTTTATTCATTTAATAACATTTATTGAACACCTACTGTGTATCAAGTACTAGCTAGGCTCTGGGGATACAGTGATGAATGAGATGATATCCTGAAGAAGCACAGGATCTCATGTAATTATAAAGATAAATAATGCCAGGGGGCTGTGTCATGTGCTGGAGTAGAATTACATACCAGGGACAGGGTTGGACAATAAATGGAGTGCTGAACTCTGGATATGGGAATCTTAGGAAGATTCACAAAGGAGAAGGCAGACCAATAATAGTATTTGTGACAATGATTTGCTAAAAGGGACTGCCAGGTGAAGAGAAGGGTTTGTTCTCAGGGGGTTGGGTGGTGGTGATAGACGAGGTGGTGAGTTTGGGGAACACTTCACCGAGGGGCTGTTGGGGTGGTGGGCTTTGCAGAATGAATGGGCACGTGCATCTCGAGTCGCACAGAGAACCAGACCAGCAGATGTTGAGGGCACAAAAGTATACAGTGAGTTTGATAAGTGCTGTGTCGTCTTGGCTAGAATGTAGGCTGAGGATGGAAGTCTAGTATAGTACTTTGAATTTCAAATGAAGGAATTAGGCCATTATTCTATAAGCAAAGGGAAGTCAGCAAAGTTTAAGCAAAAATGTGTAATTCTTTTCCCAGAACAGTTTATAAGACATAACTTTATGAAACACCAGATTTATAAAAAAACAGTTGTTGACTATCTCTTATGAATTATGTCAAATATTATTTTTGCTGTGAGTGTATAAGCCACATAGGCCTACTTATTTAAGAGTCAACCCATAAACATAGAAAGATTATTAACAATGTAAGGTTGTAGCTTATGCCAAATGTGAGTAGGAAGAGACAATATATTATGGATTGTTAGATGGGACCTCAAAAGTTTTACAATGCCACCCTTAGTTTTTAAAGACTTGCCCTTAGCATCATGGAAGGCCGGCCAAGGATTATACCTTCAGACTGATCATCAAATGGCTCTTACCTAAAACTCAGTAAAAAAAAAAAAGAGAGAGAACACTTAGAGCAGTGGTTCTCAACCTTCCTAATGCCGTGACCCTTTAATACAGTTCCTCATGTTGTGGTGACTCCCAACCATAAAATTATTTTCGTTGCTACTTCATAACTGTAATTTTGCTACTGTTATGAATCATAATGTAAATATCTGATATGCAGGATTTATTTTCATTGTTACAAATTGAACATAATTAAAGCATAGTGATTAATCACAGAAACAATATATATGTGTTTTCTGATGGTCTTAGGCGACCCCTGTGAAAGGGTCGTTCGACCCCCAAAGGGGTTGCGACCCACAGGTTGAGAACCGCTGACTTAGAGCTAATTAAGTGGACACACGGTCCATTTATTCCTCTCCATGTTCTAGTGTATATCCCGAGATTAAACACAAGCATCAGAGAGCTGCGTGTTTGGGCCCCATTTCTGGTCTCCTTCAGAGTGGTGCTCCCACGTCCCTCTGAGCATCATGCCAGCAGTTTGCAGAGCCTCCCAAGGGTGTCAGAAGGAGATGGCGAGTGCGTTTATTGTGGGTCATGTTTCTGTCATACATTGTTTAAGGTCCCTTCTATGAAGACTCAGTCAAGACATTTCTTTTAAATCACAGTGTTGGGCATTTTTTGTTTGTTTTGTCCAAGGAACTAGTATGTGAGTCTGGTTTTGTTTTCCACATTACCAGTATTGTTAAATTAAAGAATTTTGCTTTGGCCATAGGCAGCTCAAGCCCAAATTCCTGCCTAATTTTAGTAAATTATGACTTACACCCCCCATTCTCTTCACCTCATCTTCATACCTTAGGCCTGTCTTTTCTTTTTGCTATTTTATGTCTATAAGTATCCCTAATTACTTTACATAGTATGAGTATGTATATGTTTGTGTGTACATATATTATTTATGTGAAATATATACACATTTTAAATTTTATTTCATAAGCCATGGAAACAAAAATAATACTTATACACATAATATGAATTATTATTTTTTCCTAAAAATAAAACACAAAGGTTCTTTTTATTAACTGAAATATCCTCGATCTTCCTGGAGTAGTTTATGTACCTGTAGAATTTTTCTATAATATAGTTAGAAAAATATATAAAAATCAGATAATTTTAACTGCTGTGTAAGTTTTATAGTCATAGATTTGTTTATTTATGTGTTTATTTTTTAATCTTCACCCAAGGATATTTTTCCATTGATTTTTAGAGAGAGTGAAAGAGAGAGGGAAAAACTGAGAGAAATATCTATGTAAGAGAAACACATTGATTGTTTGCCTCCTGCATGTGCACTTGATGGGAACCGAACACAGGACCCTTCAGTCCGTAGGCCATGCTCTATCCAGTGAGCCAAACCAGCCAGGGCAATAGGCATAGATTTAAATATTTTCTAATAATTCACATTGTAGTTCTTATGGCTATTATTAATAATATAGTGGCGTCCATTAATAATACAAGAAAATTACTTAGATTTTAATGCTCTTGAGAAAACGCAGCACCCACATCCTTCAAAACACAGTTACACAAAAACAGTTCTGCCAGATTTTTCATCACTATACCAATAAGGCTATATGATTATATAAGAATTAAATAGCATTTTTTTAGAACACAATCTATTAGCAACAAGATCGTTGCAACATTGAATTAATTTTATGTTTATCAATAAGCAGAGTAAGAAGTACAATAAAGTAACATTTAAGAAATGAATGTCTTAGATTTTCTCCCATCTCATTGGACTTTGCTTTGCCTTTGTCAGTCTCTCAGATGATCTTCAAAAAGGCACCATCCAGCACTGGACATCTATTATTCTTAGGGGGTTCTGAGTAATTTACATTTAATTGCCTGGGGAATAAATAATGCATCAACCTCAGTTAAAAATACCCTGGGCACTAAGAACATAGAATTAACCCTCTTTCAAGTCTCGGGAAGGTCAACATCACTGAAGTTTCCTCAGAATTCAGTGTTAAGATTTCGTTCTTAGTTGCTCTGTTACTGAACTTGAATATTCTTGTGAAGCCCCTCATAGTAGCCCAGCCAACACTGAGCCTGTCATGCTTGACGCAGTTTAATGAATTATTTCTCTTTCGGTCACCATGTAAACTCTGACTCACGTTACACTGAGGTATTTGATGCATAAGACATGAAAATGCAGAAATGCACAGATGTTGCTGAACTAAGAGAAAAGCAGTATAGAACACATACATGTGATAGACCTTGTTTGAAGATGAATGCTTTAAGGGTTTATTATATACTAAAGGCCCGTTGCATGAAGATTCGCGCAATAGG